TGCCATATGATATGTTTTTCCTCATGGTATACACAGCTGATGGAAGATTCCTGTGCAAGACCGTAATGCGGGACACACCCCTTATCAAGTATGCACTTTATTCGAATGAGATATTAAATGCGAAGCATTTCCCAGCGAACTTCGGGGACTTTGAGCGTATCTATCTGTCTGTCCATCCGTCCGTCCGCCCACGACTTCTAGCTGTTCTAGTCGTTTCGATAATCGTATCGTAACGAAACTTGGTATGGCATAACGTGACCGTATGAAGAACATATTTGACTTTAATATACGTGCTTACAAGCCCAAATACTTGAATATAAAACACTTACGTCTGTTTGCATACTTTACAAAATAGCTCGCTGATGGAGGTGCACTCCTTTCGATTAACGATTCTTAACTTTAAAAATGCCCTTTCAAAGTCGGACCTTTTAGATGCGGAGCATCTAATACTCGAGGCTTGTAGTGCGGCGCCGTCCGCAAGCTTCCTCCTCCTTCTTCCACCATCTGTGCATCCCTTCCTCCTCTACACACCGCGCGCGCTTCACTCCTCCACCATCTGTGCACCCTTCCTCCTCTACACACCGCGTGCGCTTCTCCTCTTCACGAACATTCGCTAGCTGTATAATGTAGCGCGCATGCGCCGTCACGCTTCGAGAACATCGGCAGCTGACGCGCGCGCATGCGCCGTCGCGCTTCGAGAACATCGGCAGCTGACGCGCGCGCATGCGCCGTTGCGCTTCTCCCCCTTGTCGAACATTCGACAGCTGACAGTGCATGCGCCGTCGCGCTGTATATATACTCAAGGTCGGCGCTCGCTCGCTCAGTTGCCGCTCGTCGGTTGGTTTGTACGGCACGTCGACGTCCAAGGTCGCGGTGAAATGAATTCCAACGAATCCACAAACACAATGGTCGACGTCCCTTCGACCAGCGCCGCCCTTTCGCATACGTGTGTACGTGTTCACTCATTTAACACCCCCTCCTACAACCACGTTAACCAATTTAGCCATCGACCCAAGTAAGTCGCAATTTAACACCCCATTTCACAACCACGTTAACCAATTTAGCCATCGACCCAAGTAAGTCGCACTTTAACACCCCGTTAACCAATTATATGCTCCGCATCCTCCTCAGTGTTCCCCCGAGGGAAGCTGCGGGCAATTTTTTTGGATAAATCCGAGTCACCAGAAATTTTACCGGCGAGTATTAATAAGATTTTTTTTTCAGATTTATCCAAGAGCACGAAGCCCTACCCGTATATAAAAGCGCTAATATCGGCGGTGTGCCCCTTTGGAAAAGTACATAGTCCGATCAATTGTGATGCCTCGATTATATATCCTGTGGGCGGCAAAACGATAACCAAATTCGGAATCCAAGTTCAACGAAACGACGCCATCTTCAGTAAAAAAGCTGCTAACATAGCAGCTTTTTGCTCTCATCCTTGAGTGTTTTTTTTTGTCCACGATTTTGTAAAAAAAATGCTCAATAAACTGAAACTAAATAATGTGTCATGGTCACGTGGCCATGGTCACGTGGCTTGGAGAATATCGTGAGCACCTATCTGTAGGCGAAGGTCACATAAGGCAAGATTTCAGCCCAGTTCTTGTGTTCTGTGTTGACATACATGCAGAGCATGTCTGCGAAGAAAGCTAAGAAATAATCCGAAAAGTCATTTACCTTGGGCTACAAATAACCCGTTAATAAAAGACGGAACACATTACAGCACCGATGAACAAGAAGCGCTCTAGCTTCAATCTGTGTTTCACTAGTCTATTAGCATTTAACAATTAACCGGTGTAATAAATTAATATCATTATTTTATTTTTTTAAAGAGTACGATTTCTAAAGTTACAAAAAAAAAAGCTTCTCGGTTTGAATCTTCGGATTACGTTTCTTTATTGAAAAAAAAAAAACACCTGTGCTGGCTATCATTTGGTCGATCGTTTAAACAAGTGCTCTTCATCTAACAATAAGTTTCCTTAATTATTATAGGCTACTGATGTAGTATAACGACAAAAATGGGTGCATTTACTTGTCTGTCTTTGCTCATTGTTTCAAAAGGCTGACATCACTACCTGGGCAGTGCATTTTTGGTGGTACAAGCGAATTTACAACAGCCAGGAGAGGATTATTGGCATATGCACTTTAATATATATATATATATATTATATATATATATATATATATATATATATATATATATATATATATATATATATATATATATATATATATATATATATATATATATATATATATATATATATATATATATGAGTACCTGCCTTACCTGAACCATGGCTGCCAGTACATCATCAACGGAGCGTTTGTCGCGGAGATATCCAAATTACCCTACGAAGTGTGCCGTCATCGGGGACTCAATCATGCGGTACGTCCACACGCACTTCAGCCCGAATGACTCATCGACGCCATGCTTCATCTCCTAAGGTGGCGCTATGTTTTCGGACATTCCGGCGCTACTTGAGTACCTGCCCTACCGGGTGGACACGCTGTTTCTGCATGTGGGCACCACGGACATCCTGAAGACGAACTCTTCAAGATCACTGGATTCGTTGAGGGAGGCCTTGAAGCGAATGAGGCAGATGCGCCCGAACATCAAGGCACTGCATCTTAGTTTGCCACTACCTCGCGCACCCGATCGCCGACGGCGGGACTCGAACTGGCGATCAATGAATCGGTTTAATATGGAGGTGCAGCGATTCAACAGAGAGGCCCGCCGTCTCTGCCACTACGGGTTGTTGGGAGCAGGCGTCTATTACGTCTATATATCAATATATATATATATATATATATATATATATATATATAATGTGCTTCGGCAAAACACATGTACCACACGAATTGGGCAGGACTCCCCATTCAACACTAGTCGATTAAAATTGAAGGGGACACAAGGGTGCGAACCAGCTTGTCAGAATAAATCAGGGCTTCAGTGGATGCATGTCTGGTCGGGAAGAATCACTGAATTTAAAAGGAAGACGCCGTCTATGAGAGAATATAAAAAATGTAATAAAAATATAAACGTCTTATGACATTTTTATATTCTCTTGTGGATGGCGTCTTCGTTTTTTTATTCAACCATTTCAGATCGCACACGAAATGCCTAGCGTAAGCAGCAAGCCTTACGAGACGTCACGAAACAGGGGCTACAACTTCCCTTAACTTTTCAGTGTGGCGTGGCAAGGAAGCGCTGAACATTCCGCTCCTTACTGCTTGCGTCTATGACTCGAAGATTTGTTCACTTTTGTCGAGCTCTTAACCCGATGTTGTCCACCGTTTTATCTTCTCTGAACGAGGATTTCGATTCCGCGCAGACGTGGAAAGGACTTGCGCCTTCCACAACGAATTTCTCTTGCCGCCTGTGAAGGGTACTTTTTCAGGCGCGCAGACGTTGTGCGGGAAAGCGCACGCACGTACATAGCCCTTTCGAGAATGTTTCTGGGACAGAGACAGAGAGAGGGAATAATAAACACATGTAAATAACAGAGGATATATAATTTTTAACAATTTAATTTGTAACCTTCGGGGTTTTATTCTGCTGGAAAGTGGCGTCTCGCTCGTCTTTCATCATGCGCTACTTTCCGCGCACAACACGAAACCATTGTCCGGTAGTGCAACATCTTTGTCCGTACTACTATATCTGAAGCGTAGTAGCCTGCGTTTCGTTTTAATTTTTCCTACCTATCACTATAAAAAAATTAATTAGGAAAAGCAAGGGATACCACTGGGGACACAAATTAACAGCTTTTAAATTAACACAACAAAACAATCCACGTAATAATTATTGCAATAACAATTATTAAAAAAAAGGTCTCATCCTTGGTTCTGGTTGACAGGGCAGCTCTGACGGTGATCATCTCGTCCGGTCTGATGTTCAAACAAAGCTCTTTGCATTCAGTTCAACACCTTGACAAGCTTCTGGATCCGGGGACTGCACGTCGCATTTCCCACCAGGACGATGTTGTCGACCTTCATCTTGTCCGTATTGGAGTTTTCTAGCGCCCTTTAGATCGTTCCCCGGGTGGTCTTAGGCATTTTCTTAATGTTTACGTGCAGCTCCTCGAAACGGGAACAAGTGACATTTGTGTAGAAGTGGGCACTATTGAAGAGAGCATCGATCTCGATGCTAGTTTTTCACGAGAGTAGACACAAATTAGAACATAGCGGCCATTTTTTATTATGGGTTGTTTATTTACACGGAAATGAAATCATGTATTTAAATAAAATTTAGATATGAAGCCTGGGATTTGAGTTAGCGCCTGATTGTTTTCTTTATTCTGTCTTCTTTGTACCGGTCAAGTGGCTTTTGCGATTTAGTCTTACATATTGAACACAGGTACACGCTAAAAAATAATCACCCTTTACAAAAAGTCGAATGCCCTATACACTTAACTGTCAAGTAATTCAAATATATGAAACTTGGAAGGGGTGTCGCCCCAGCTTGAGCCCAAGAGCCCTTCTATGATTTACGCCGATGCTTCATCATGATCAAGCATCACCCTCAAAAACTGTTAGCCCTGCACGATACATTTGGGCAGCTTTTTGAATGTTCCCGCTGGCAGCAAGTTACCTCTTCGTCAACTTTAGTTTCTTCTCACTTATTTCATATTTATTGCATAAACCACATAAAAGTTTTTATATTTATTGTCTGCTGTCACTAATAACCGTGACACAGTGCTTTCAAAACACGCTTAATTAACCCCAGGAGACACAATTTAAAACTAACCTCGTTAGCGACGACAGCGACAGTGTTTTGTGGCGGCGGGTAGTGTTACTAAGAAGCTAAGCCGCTGATTTTGACCACAGAGAAAGAAGAAGATTTATTTCGCACAGCCGTTCTGCGCTCTCTAGCATGTCGCAATGTTTGAATTTAGACTTCCCCGTGATCAAGCGTGATTTGCTACGCTCTCGGCGCGATTGCGCTCTGCGAGGACTGCGACAGAGCGCAAAGTGGGCGTCCGAGCTCGCGTACGTCCTGCGTGATGTCGAGGCGAGTCCGCCGGACCAGGCGGCGTCCGACCGACGACGACGACTTGGACGACTCGTACTTCCTCGCCAAGAGCTACCTGGACCTCCAGGAGTACGACCGCGTCGCGTACTTCACCAAGAACGCCAGTGGGACGACGCGGTTTCTCCACTACTACGCCAGGTACCTCTCGGACGAGAAAAAGCGACTGGACGACACCGTCGAGCCGATCACGGCTACGGACCGCGGGGCGAGCCAGGAGCTCAAAGACCTGCAGGTGTGTACTCGTTTTTCGTCGTTGCGACGTGCTAACTTGCCGCATTCGTGTCAACGGCGCTTGCGTCTGTTAGTGCGTTGTACCGGTGTCAGACTGTGCACCGATGATCGTTGTTGGTGTATTATGGTTTATTTAGCCTTATTACTCGTGGGTTGTTCGTCTTGTGTCAGTGTAAGACTCATTCGGCGTATGACAAATTGTGTTCTGATGCTGTGCTAGCAGCTGTGATAGACTGCTGCCTGCTGGCAGCGATAGATCATGGCAAAGATAGATATGTGGGGTTTAACGTCCTAAAACCACCATGATTATAAGAGATGCCGTAGTGGAGGGCTCCGGAAATTTCGACCACCTGGGATTCTTTGACGTTCACCTAAATCTGAGCACACCGGTCTACAGCATTTTCGCCTCCATCGTAGATAATGGTAAAGCAGCTGACAGTATGACCTAAAGCGAGTTTTTGGACTGCCAACATGAGTTTATCTCTTTGTGGCCTCTCGCTGTCTTAATTAAAAGGTTATTTGAAAATGTACACCTGAGCTTATTCTTCGTTGCTGGATGCAATCTGGAAGTGTTCAAGAGACGCTGTTCTCCGATGTGTTCCAAAACACAGCATCTTGGAAAAGGTATTCTGTAGACTGAATGAAACCATTTAAGTCCGTGGCTGTGTTCTTCTTGGTTCATGACTACTGGTTTATGGGGTTCAGCGTCCCAAAGTAGCCCGGGCAATAGGAGACGTCATAGTAGAGGTCTTCAGAAACTTTGTTTATGTGGGGTTGTTAAGCGTGAATTGAAATCTGACTGCTGCGGCAGGGATCAAGTCCATTTGAACCAGCAAATTCTGAACTTTCATTCACGTCAGAAATGTAGCATAAAGAAATATATGAACATGTGCTGTAGGTTAGAAAATGATTTCACTGTAGTGTGTATCATACATTTTCTACAGAAGCATGGAAAGTTCAATGGCACTACTGTCGAATCGTAAAAATGATTTTGGGACTGTCGTTGTGTTATATGTGCATTTGTCTTGGTTACACGAAGAATATGAGAGAAGAAAATAAACTACCAAAAAGTGCCTGATCCTAATGTAAAGTTAACTGTCCATTAACAAAGCTCCTTTTCTAACTGGCCACATAGTGCCGGCTGTGAAATGAATGCGCTGGTGGCGCTTCCTTAACTCTGTCTCTCCCATCACGTTCGACTACTTCTTGATGCTGCTGCGAATAATAATAGTCGTTCGTTCTACTCCCGGACGGTGCTGCTGCAATATTACGGACTCAAGATGCTACAACTTTCATGAATGTAGATTGATGTGCTCTTCATATTACCCGCGTTGTCCTTGAAAGCGTGACACGGTGCAGATTGGTGACCTAAAGTTGGAAGGGAAGCAAAAAAGGCACTTCTTTCATACCTGTCCTTGTCTAGCTTTGCTGTTTTGTACTTCACGTAGCAAGTGATCTTACTACGGGCTCGTCAGCTATTAGCTCGTAATAAGATCACATGCTACGCGATGCCTACAGGCAGAAAAAGACTATTCCGCACTCACCATCATGGTTACCGGAGGCACTAATTAATGCTCCTGCGTTCAATGCACATTTCATCATCATCAGCCTGACTACGTCCACTGCAGGACAAAGGCCTCTTCCATGTTCCGTCAGTTAACCCGGTCCTGTGCTTGCTGCTGCCAATTTATACCCGCAAACTTCTTAATCTCATCGGCCCACCTAACCTTCTGTCTCCCCCTAACCCGCTTCCCTTCTCTGGGAATCCAGTTTGTTACCCTTAATGATCAGCGGTTATCCTGTCTACGCGCTACATGGCCGGCCCATGTCCATTTCCTCTTCTTTATTTCAACTATGATATTCTTAACCCCCTTTTGTCCCCTAATCCACTCTACTCTCTTCTTGTCTCTTAAGGTTACACCTACCATTTTTCTTTCCATTGCTCGCTGTGTCGTCCTCAATTTAAGCTGAACCATCTTTGTAAGTCTCCAGGTTTTCGCTCCATAGCTAAGTACCGGCAAGATACAGCTGTTATATACCTTCCTCTTGAGGGATAGTGGCAATCTACCTGTCATAATTTGAGAGTGCTTGCCGAATGTGCTCCACCCCATTCTTATTCTTCTAGTTACTTCAATCTCGTGGTTCGGCTCTGCGGTTATTACCTGCCCTAAGTAGACATAGTCTTTTACAACTTCAAGTGCACTATTACCTATCTCGAAGCGCTGCTCCTTTCCGAGGTTGTTGTACATTACTTTCGTTTTCTGCAGATTAATTTTAAGACCCACCATTCTGCTCTCCCTGTCTAACTCCGTAATCATGAGTTGCAATTCGTCCCCTGAGTTACTCAGCAATGCAATGCCATCGGCGAAGCGCAGGTTACTAAGGTATTCTCCATTAACTCTTATTTCTAACTGTTCCCATTCTAGGCTTCTGAAAGCCTCCTGTAAGCACGCGGTAAATAGCATTGGGGAGATTGTGTCCCCCTGCCTTACACCCTTCTTGATTGGTATTCTGTTGCTTTCTTTATGAAGCACTATGGTAGCAGTTGATCCCCTGTAGATTTCTTCCAGAATGTTTATATATACTTCATCTACGCCCTGATTCCACAGTGTCTGCATGACGGCTGATATTTCTACTGAATCAAACGCCTTCTCGTAATCTATGAAGGCTATGTATAGTGGTTGGTTATACTCTGAGAATTTTTCTATTACCTGACTGATAGTATGAATGTGGTCAATTGTTGAGTAGCCTGTTCGAAACCCTGCTTGTTCCTTTGGTTGATTGAATTCTAATGTTTTCTTTACTCTGTTAGCAATTACCTTTGTAAATAGCTTGTATACTACAGAGAGCAAGCTGATCGGCCTGTAATTCTTCAAGACCTTGTCATCTCCTTTCTTATGTATTAAGATGATATTAGCGTTCTTCCAAGACCCTGGTACTCTTCCCGTCGGGAGACACCTCGTAAACAGGGTGGCTAGTTTTTCTAACACAATCTGTCCTCCCTCTTTCAGCAGATCTTATGTTACCTCATCCTCACCAGCAGCTTTGCCTCTTTGCATGCTCTCCAAAGCTTTTCTGACTTCTTCTAATATTACTGGTGGGGTGTCATCTGGGTTACTGCTAGTTCTTAAAGTATTAAGGTCGTGGTTGTCTCGGGTACTGCAAAGATCTCTATAAAACTCCTCCGCTATTTTAACTATCCTATCCATATTGGTAGTTATTTTGCCTTCTTTGTCCCTTAGTGCATACATCCGACTTTGCCTATCCCAAGTTTTCTCTTCACTGCTTTGACGCTTCCTCCGTTTTTCAGAGCGTGTTCAATTCTCTCCTTGTTATACCTTCTTACATCGCATACCTTACGTCTATTAATCAACTTCGAAAGCTCTGCCAGTTCTATTTTGTCTGTTGTACTTGACACTTTCATGATTTGACGCTTCTTAATTAGGTTCTTTGTTTCCTGGGAAAGCTTGCCAGTGTCCTGTCTAACTACCCTGCCTCCAACTTCCACTGCACACTCCGTAATAATACTCGTCAGATTATCATTCATTGTATCTACGCTAAGGTTGGTTTTCTCACTAAGAGCCGAGTACCTGTTCTGCAGCGACACTCTGAATTCCTGTACTTTCCCTCTCAGTGCTAGCTCAATGCACATGTATATCTCATAAAATGGACGTGGGGATAGCCGTCATAGTAGCTTAGTTGGTGGAGCATCGGATGCATTATTCGAATATTGGTTCCCGCGCATGGCTACTTATCCTTTCGTACTTTTCTTTCTTCACATTTACATTACAGTTACTTGTAATGACATCCGCTATACATTCTTTGCCATCGTTGTCTTAGATCTCGGGAGAAATAGATATTAAATTACAATTTTCTTCAGATGAATTACTATACGTCATGCAAACCAATGTATTATAACATTAGTTTATATTTTATCAATAAAATATTGAGTGTCTTGAAGTAACGTTAAGTCGCGTGTTTGATTTTGGCTGCAGAAGTTGCGTTTATATGGGGATAAAACGCTAGAGACCCTTGTATTGTGCGACATCAGTGCACGTTAAAGAACACCAGATGGTCACAATTTCTAGAACCTTCCACTAAGGCATGCCTCATAATAACATTGTGTTTTAGCATATACAACCCTAATAATTATCATAATTGAAGTAATGTTTTAGTTGGACACATTTACAGACAGTTCTTCATTCGTGGTGTCTTAAAGGGTTTGACATCATCGAGGGTGTTTTGGGCTTCTTCTCTTTGCTTCTTGCCCACAGGCTGAGTTGAGGGCCCTGCGGCCCAAGCTGGACGGCTTCTGCCTCTACATCTATGGCGTGGTCCTCAAGCGGCTCCAGCTGCGACAGCAAGCTATTGACGTCTTCGTCGAGGCTGTGCAAGCCGAGCCCCTGCACTGGGGTGCCTGGCTGGAGCTGTCCTCAATGGTGGCTGACTGCGACCACCTGCGAAGCCTCGTTCTGCCCGACCATTGGATGAAGCAGTTCTTCCTCGGCCACACCTACCTCGAGTTGCAGCTCAGTGAGGAGGTGCTTGAGACATACGAGCAGCTGCAGAAGGGACCCTTCCTTGAGAGCACGTACCTTATGGCACAGGTTAGTACCTCAGGTCAGCATCTCCTGGTGCAGGTCAGCACCTCATGGTACTTAGGTCAGTACCTCAGGTCAGCACTTCATGGCATAGGTCAGCACAAGGAGCGGCAGTTAGCTTCAAAGGCATACTGACACAACTTTGAGACGTCTCGACTTCATGGCATAGGTCAGCACAAGGAGCGGCAGTTAGCTTCAAAGGCATACTGACACAATTTTGAGATGTCTCGAAAGGAACGCTTTTCATTTTCCTCAGTGTGCAGTGTCACTGCTTTCCACGCACCGTATTAAGAAAATGTGTATAAAACATTTTGCTTTCATATTAAAGTTCTTGTCGCTGAGCCTCAGCAAGCCAGCCCCATTGCTATAGACATTAGTTCACTGAGCCAACACAGTACCACTGAGCTTGCGAACTCTTCGCCTTGAATGCAGCCTAACCGCAGAAGTGACTGTCGGGGGGGGGGGGGGGTCACTGGATGACAAATCACTCATCGTTGTTTACATACAGCACGAGCACATGACAGATCTGCCGGTAGTACGTGGCAAATGGCTGTCTCCCCACTGCATCACACTGCAATGACACATCACGTAAGAGCCGCCCCCACAATGGTGAAAGTATTTTTTCAAGGTAGTGGTATAAAATATAGTGGACGTATTCCCAGTCACTACAGTGCTCTTTTCAGGGTTTTCTATGTTAGTGCTTTTATTTAGCATAACAATCAGAAAATATTTAAAATTCGTTTCAGTACTCTCTCAGGCTCAGGTTTGAAATGCTTTGAAGGGGCCCTGAAACACTTTTTGAGTAACCGTGGAATTAATACACTGGAAAAGCCTATTGCCTCTCAGATTCAATGCCGCAAAAATTTTAAGAATCCGTCCAGTACGAGCAGAGTTACAAATATTTGTCACATTCCTGCAATCGCATTCTCTTTTCTCTAATCTCGACGAAAGCGCTGGAAGCTAAGCAGAGAGGGATGGGAGGGGCAAACAAAAAACGTCACGCTCGCCTTGTGACCTTGAGCACTTTTTTCTTTTTCATCGAATACGTGGCTTTTTCACTGCGATCGCGCGTGCATGTGTGGACAAGTGAGAACTGAGTGCGCCATGTTGAAATCAGCCAATGGCTGATAGATGGGTCATATATGTTTGACTTTTAGGCATATTCCGTGATTTGTCGAGGGAAGAGAAAGTAATATTTAGCTGACTTTGACAATTTGTTGCGAATTCCAGGTCGCGTGCTGCGCTATTACATTTGGCTCGCGTGTTCTTGGAAGCCTCTACTACCGATGGGCAGCATTTTCTGAACATGCTCAAAAAGTGTTGCAGGGCCCCTTTAAGGGGATAGTGAATAGAAAAACGATTTCCATGATATTATTAGGAGAGGCACTGCTCTTAAAAAAGTTTTATTTCTTGATTGAATTTTATTAAACTTGGTGAGCTTATGCATATATGTGTGCTGTCATTAAATAACCAAATATTTTTCTTGTACAAGGTGTAGTTTCTAAAATACAGGATATTTCGTGTGCCTTTTGGGGAGCAAGATTTTTTTTAAACTGAGAGAGCTACCAAGTAAGTTGACATATCACACTAATCTCGAATCAGGACTGTGTGCAGTGCAACAAAAATGGATGTTCTAAATCAATTTGAACAAAAGTTATGGTATGTTGAACATTTGTGTGCAAGTCAATTTCAAGCTAGAATTTCACTGGCAGCCTGTTCAACATTCATAACTTCTCTTCTAGTTGGTTTAGACCCTTCATTTTTTGTTGCACCGCAATCTGTTTTTAGATTCGGAGCATTTCTTATACTCGCGCCTTGTACGTTGCGCCGTCCGCACCGCTTCTCGCACATTCGACCGCTGACGCAGCGCGCATGCGCCGTTCGCGCCTGGTCGCCCAACTCTTCCACCATCTGTGCATCCCTCCTCCTCTACCGACCGCGCAGCACGCTTCACTCCTTCCCCATCTGTGCACCCTTCCTCCTCTACACACCGCGTTCGCCATCTACCAATTCTTCCGATTCTCCAGTGGACGCGCAGTGGCCGGTACGCCTTCGCGCTTCGAGAACATTCAACAGCTGACAGTGCATGCGCCGTCGTGCTGTATATATACTCAAGGTCGGCGCTCGCTCGCTCAGTTGCCGCTCGTCGGTTGCGTTTGTACGGCGCGTCGACGTCCAACGGTCGCGGTGAAATGAATTCCATACGAATCCACAAACACAATGATCAACGTCCCTTCGACCCAGCGCCGCCCTTTCGCATACGTGTGTACGTGTTCACTCATTTAACACCCCCTCTACAACCACGGTAACCAATTTAGCCATCGACCCAAGTAAGTCGCAATTAACACCCCATTCACACCACGTTAACCAATTTAGCCATCGACCCACGTAAGTTGCACTTTAACACCCCGTAACCAATTATATGGTCCGCATCCTCATCAGTGTTCCCCCGAGGGAAGCTGCGGGCAATTTTTTTTGATTCCAGATTAGTTTGATATGCTTATTTACTTCATAATATCCTTAGTTTAGGCAAAAGCTTACTTTCCAAGAGGCACAGTAAATTTTAATTATTTTAAAAACTGCACTAAACACAAGAAAAATGATTGCACATTTGAAATCATCACACATATATACATACACTTGCCATGTTTCATAATTGATCAAGAAACAAAAAGTTTTTTCAAGTGCCATGTCTCCCCTTAAGTTGCCTTTCCAAAGTACCAAAAGTACCACTTTTATCCAAAGAAAAGGCATATAGTGACATTGATTTGAAGTTTGCACACTGGTGTCACAAGTTACAACCACATGAGGTAGGGCCTGCATAATCCTTGACAAATGAAAATTAGAGGTGTGCACATAGGAAAATTTTAGCTGTGAAGTGAACTTGAATAGGAAAGTGTGATTGAACATTTTTCGAATATTCCTAGAATATTTGAAACTGTGTAGCAAAATGGAAGAAAGAAAAACTGGAGAGGATGCCTCAGCATATTTTTATGAAATAGCAACATTGAATTGTGGTGTTTCATAGTTGTCTTAATTAGCTAGAGTGAGGCAATAAAGAGGTAGATTTGTATTTATTTACGTGACTTGGTACAACTATTTGTTGCCGAAAACACTCAACAGGCAAAAGGCTAAGACGCTATGCCTTCAGCCATTTCCTAACTCTTTTGAACTTCTGTGGAAGCCCAACTCACGTGGTGGACAAGAGTGCGCTCCCTTTCCAAATCTGCCATTTGGACATCCGTGTATACGACTGTCTGAAATTTTGGACGCTAAAAAAATCCTGCGCAAATTTCCAGTTCAAAACGGCATTAATTGAGCCCCCCCTACCTCTCTGCCTCTTATATCATCTCCACGTTGGAACGAGTGTTTTTTTTGAGTGAATAGATTTGCGGCCGTGGTAGAGCTTGAAAGATAACCTTGCTGTAGTTTCGAGAGGGAGACGGGGCGACACATATTGAAAATCAGATGGGGTCACTTTGAACGTAAGTGTATTTGTCCTCAGGAAGTTTGAATAGTGAAATTCTGGTGCAAATCGAATAGCAAACACTAGTAAAAAAATTTGGCAGATCCTGCATACCTTGGAATATACGTTATGTGAAGCATTTGTAGGAAGGTGACCGCATTGTAATTTTTTATTGAGGGACACTTCATGAAATGATGCTAAATATATGTATAAATGTTGCACACATAGACATATGTTGAACAGTTGCAGATGCTTACATAACAAGTTGTTTGCACTTGCACAACGATGCCAACAGGAACACGAGTATGAGCAACACCAGAAGCAACAAGCTGATATGAAGGCTGGTGCTCTAGAAGATGATAGCCCTGGCACTGCTACATAAATCAACTTCAGCAAATGATACCTAACTAGAATTGACGTTAGCCCAACACGACGGCTGTATGATAGAAGTAGATATGTAATGTTTATAAAATTGAATTGCCCCCCCCCCCATTTTTTTTACATTTCACAAACATTGCGATCTATTTGAAAAGTAGTTCCTCGACCTGGCTTGGCTCTTTGGTAGAATACTTTATTTACACGCAGAATGCTGGGGTTCGATTCCTGCTGAGACCCTGTTATTTATTGTATGTGTTCATTGGGTCACCCTGCTGATGTCAGCTTTTTCTTAACGCTCATCTGTTGAAATTACCAAGGTGTGTTCTCGCCTTCCCAGGGAGTTACTAAGTTTCAGTCACCTGTGGCACACACGTGCATACCAGTGGCACACGCGCGCCCACAGGTATGAGCCACTGTTTAACGGGAAGTGTTTGACGATGGACGTGATGGGATTGTCACATTATTCAAGTTTTGACTAGCGCTTTATATTCGTCAAACCATCTTGCCCTCCCATATTAATTTGGGTTGATGCCAAGTTAAGGGGGTGATCACGAGAGCACCCAGTCGTAAGCAGCTAGACAGACAGATGGACGGGCGGATGCCAAAAGTGCTTGCAGTACGTAAAGAAATGTTTTGCATTTAATATTAAAAAATGTATTATTGCACACCCTAGTAAACAATAAAAATGGATTACAATGTCTTCAGAGGGAGCTAGCAACTTCAACATCAAAAATGAGAGAATTCTCTTGAGCTAATGCAGCCAAAGTATGTAAAATGGTTGACCAAGTTCATGCTGACATGCCGGTGCTTTGGATGATGAAGGCAATAGAATAGAAAGCTGGACTAGTTGAAATGCTTGCATGGTTGATGCATGGTAGAGACGATTACAAAAGGAACATGCAGCGCTGGTCCTGTGCGTTCCGTGTTTCTTTCACGGAACACAGAGTGCACAGAATGAGCGCGTGCTGTGCAATGAATCCTGCCAGCAGCTATCTAGCCGTACTCCGAAAACGGGCCACGTGTTTAAGGTTGCACTTGAATCTCTGAAGCCTTATATTACTCCTATGCGCATTTCTTATGTTTGAAGATAGGAAAATAAGGCAGTGGACATGCTGTAGTCTAGTCTTTTTGCAACAATGTAACTTGTGAGTAGGCATCCGCAACACTAGCCTACTGTAAAAATAGGCACAGGAATCGGCTAAACCCAGCAGTGGACATATGGCTGGCCCCGAGTGTTCCTGAGCCTTGCGCCGATTCGCTAATGCAAGGAAAGCAAGTGTAGCTGCATTTCAGTGGATCAGTTTTTCATGTACGCTTATTTTAAAGTTTATTGCACGTGAATGTGAATGTAGAGAGAATCGAATGAAAAATGCTTGCATAAAAGCGAGGAGAGATGGCGTTCCGTGGCACTTAACAGAGCCTAGCAGGGTTCCCTGAGGCCAACATGCTTGATAACCCCTGCTTTAAGAAAATACTACGTCTGTGACCTACAGCACTCGGGAGGTTCAGTTTACGCACTTTCAGTGGTCACCACGAACTATGCTCGAATTGAACAGAAAATTATTGATGTGGTGGACATCGTAGGCATTTGGGGCATTTTGCTTCCTCGACACATCAGTGGCAATGATGTTGTTCCGCCATGTTCTTATTTTGACATCAAACCACTTTGCAGCTCAGCATCATCTTGGCAGTCCTAGCAGCCTCCAAACAACGAATGATCTTAGTGATAGCGATGAACTAGAGTCCTTATTTGGGCCGGTTGGTGCATATTCAAGGAAACAGAAAACAGCGCGAAAGAAGGGGCAGTAACACAGACAGACCGGGTTGTAAGTCAGCTCTTGGTTGTGTGTCATTGTCGCAGGTCTTTGCGCTGTTTCCTGTTTCATCAAATACACGATGCTTTGCCTGCTGCGTAACCTGATGAGGTCAAAACTGATGCCTTGCTCCCCCGGCGTAATTGCTGCTGTCCATTACGGTAGATAGACATTGAAAACCAGTGAGAATTATGCCTTACATCTAGGAATTTTCAACTGTTATCACCACCACGAAGTAGTCATTGTCTGGTGGTGCTCACACTCGAAACCTGTAATTCGACAAACATGCTACTTCCCCTTCCGCACTTACATTCCGAATCCCCCAACACCACCCAAACCACTCTCTTTTTTATTTTTGCTTACTGCTTTCTCTTTCCTTTTGACTCACCGATTTCGCCACACCACCCCCTTCTCCGACCCCCTTTGCGCACTTCTTCTTTCCTCCTCTATTTAAACTGGAGGAGAAGGTAGAAGCATGAAAATGCATGCTCTAAGATAGGCCATTGCAGCCTTGAAAGAGACAAGTCTGCTTGTTGGAACATTGACTCCAGTGACAGCACCGCATTCAAAGTATTTTCAATCCCATCAAGCTACCATATTTCCCCTGAACTTCTATCTTATTTAGATTTCACTGCAAGAGTAACATTGTGGCATTTGTGCACTTTTGATGGCGCAGGTCGCCATCGCCTACCACAACATGCGGGTAGTCGACAAGGCCATCGAGTGCTTCCAGAAGCTGCGCAAGGTTGACCCGTACCGGCTGGACAACATGGACATCTATTCCAACCTGCTCTACGTCAAGGAGCTG